GGGGAAAACAGGAGGAGGAAAGAGTATTAGGTATGTTTGCCACCTTGAGTTATTTATAAAAATAATAAAGGTAGGATAAAAAAATATTTTAAAAAATACCTTCAGAAAATAAAGCTGTCTGTCCAAGGACCTTGCCAGTTCTAGCATCATTGCACAAGGCACAGCTGAGTCAGTGGCTCCAACAAACACTTCACCATCCAGTTGCGGTGGAAAATATTTTGAATCATAATGGCAAGCAAGCACCAAATGGCGCTTGGCAAGGGGATTGAGAGTACTGATTATATTTGAAAAGGTGCGATATCCATAAGGAGTATGGCTCTGAAATGTGTCTTCTTCAACAATCCAGCCAGCCTGCAATCCTTGCAGGCGATGCTTGATATGCTGAAATGCATAGAACCAAAAATCAATGGTGATCATCAATGTTAATTTTTAAGCAAGCCAATACAAATCCTGGAGGATCTAGCAAATTTCCTGAAAAAGATTAACATTTCCTCCTAAAACCTAATATTCAAGAAATACCCATTCACAGCTTTCTTATCAACACATTTCTCTTTGGGAGACCTTTTCAAGCACCCACAAGGCCTACTGATAATGAAGCAGAACAAGTCTTCTGCTTCAGACTGGAATCCTGTCTGCATAAAGCAAGACAAAATTTTGAAGTGTGTAGCTCCATCAGCCTTTTTCAACATGGTGCCTTTCAGATGTAGTCAATTCCCATAATTCTCTGCCTGCTCACCTGTTATCTGCAGCATCTGGGAACAATTATCAAATACACCTGAAGGGCATCAGGCCGGAGAAGATAGGAGAAAGATATAAACATATCACATTTAGCCTTTTAATATGAGAATGATTCTTTCAGAATGCTGATACATTCACATACACCCCCAACTTGGGGATTCTTTTCCCCCCATTCCCACATGTTGCACAGGAGTGAATCAGAGAGGCAACTGTACATATGGACAAATCTAAAAGTTCTGGCCATTTTGAGCTCTGAACAAGAGTGCTTATTTTTAGATAAATCTTCATTACATCTTCTTCATGCTCCTAATTGCAAAAGACATAGAAGAAGTTCAAAATATGAGAGAAAGGAACTTCAGCTGTCAATTCCAGCTTGAAATCCAAGGAAGGCTTATGAACGTAACAGGTTCTCAATCCCAGCTGCTGTCACTTAATGATATATAATTGCTGTTCCCCCATCTAAGGATGTATCTTTGGATGTTTTCTTAATAATATGTTTTCTCAGCTGCTCATTTCTATAGCAGCTCAAGAGTTGCTGCAATCAAGGCCTAAGAGAGCCTTCATTATCTTATAGAACATGTTGATACTTGTCTGTAAGAAACATGCTGTACAATTAAAATGGTTGAAGGATAGCTATTTATATATGTATTTATAAGGAGAGAAAAATGTGTCTTATACAAAATCAAACCAGTGCATAGGAAAACCAGGATTTACTGCTAATCAGAATGAAGTTACAAAAGATATAATTATATAGAGGAAGATATTGGTAATGAAAAGAAGAATATCACTATAGCCACCTTTCCTTCAATGAATTTACTAGAACAAAAATCTAAGCACCATCATATTAAGCTCAAGGTCCAAGAAAGGTTCCCAATTTAGCCCCTCACTCAAACTAAGTAGTTTGGGACTTTTTATTACCTATACATTTCAGAGATTTTGAGAGGATAGAAAAGGAAAAAATGATTGTTATCTATGGGGAGAAACATGATATATTTTAGGATGTGGACTAATTCCAGAAATACATAACCATAGATTATCAGTGATGCCCATGCTAGTCTGTAAGTGCCAATCAGCTATTTGGTATTGGAGATCCTAGCATGCAGGAGACACTTTGATTAGATTTGTCAGCTTCAAAGAAATGGACATCAAAGACATATTTCTTACTAGGAAGTTTATTTTCAGATACTGTTCTTCTCCAGAAACAGTAGTACATATTCTTTCTTGGATGTGTTTGATTACTGCAGTACTGGAGATACTATATTTTTGTTTAGGCTATTTGTGAGAAACCTACTAGGAAACATTTAGTAGATATTCTTTGAAAGGGTTTATCTGCCTTTTTTGCTTCATAAATTGTAGATCACCAAGCTTACCCATCATCACATTCCAGCTGTACTAAGAAGGATCACCATTGCTTTTGGGCAACATCTCTAATTCATCAGGATTTAGCACAATAAATGCACTGCATACTTGTGAGTGCATTTTGTGACTGGAGAATATAGCTTGTCTCCAAGTTGTAATATATCAGTTGCTAGTGGTTATTTCCTGTGCTATTATTAGTGCTGACAACATAATTACCTTCTCCATTTCAGGAGCATTAACTGTTTCAATTAATGGTTACTCGTTCTGACACCTTTATGCCACCACCTGAATAATAAGCAGTATCCCTTAAAAAAACTAGGGCGAGGAGGGGGAGCAATTGAAGAGAGTTATTGCCTTTGTGTCCTGTCTCTAAACTTCCTGTTTAGAATCTCTAGTTTGTCGTGTTGTGACACAGAAGGCTGGATTAGATGGGCGTTTGTCTTGAGTTAGCAAGGCTCTTTTTATGTTCTTGGAATGGTATTTTCTCTGTGACACATTTATTACAGTGTACTTACTCTATATTCTCTATCCCTGTTGAATTGTTTTGCCCCTTCCAGTACTTTCAGTACTTTTAACCTGTTCCATCTTACCTGCCGCACAGCATAACTCCCAGGTGATCCTGGATATCGCTCAATCAGGATTGGATGGAGGTCATTTTGCCACATGCGATTAACATTTGTCTGTAAGGTGATTTGTAGGATGCTAGTTGCATTTAAAATGGTTGGGCGATGGGAATACTGCACAAAGAATTAAAGGAAAATCAGGATGAGAAAATGCTATGTTGCTTACTGCTTTGTATCTGGTAATGGTGATGGAAATATTTATTAAAATAAAATAGCTATTATCCATTTTTATGGTTGAAATGAAAACAACTAGTAATGAAAAAAAATGTTTATACAGCACTCTTCTGAGGAGCTGTTATCCAGAGTTTAGTCTGCTAATATGTTGCATGTGGAAATGTATGGTATTTCTGTAAGATATTTTTACATATACACATGCTGAGCATAAGATAAGGACTGAAGGCTTTAATACAGTAATTGATCCCTATTCTCTGTTAAATCTTTAGGGAAGCCATAGTGCCACAGAGTTTCTTGCAGAAAGCAAAGATTATTTTGTACCTCTTCCTAAGACTCAGTTCTAGCACATACTCATTTTCTGGTACATGGAGTGAGTTCATCCATCCCTTTCAGGTACTGGGAGAAAGAAAGCTGCAGCTTGATACAAATCCTTTTCCACATCTGAATATTTTTAAAATCTTTCCTGTTGCCAATTTAGTATTCTGCCAAAATTATAGCTTTCTAAGAAATAATGGAAAATATACTAAGAGACTTTTCTTAAGGGTAATTATATCAAAAATGCATATTAGCCAGCAGAGCTTTCAAGTGTAATGAAGATTAGAATGCTTGTAGTTAAAAAAAATGGGAAAAAAGTAAAAGTTTTAAATTATTTTAAAATGCAATTCCATTCTACCTGCCAAGCAAATGTTGCATAGAAATCAATAAAAGAATGATTTTGATAAAGCAGCACAAGCATTTACTGGTGTCAGTTTACATCTACTGAAAGACAAAACAAGATATTGCTATATAATCATGCTTCTGCTGAAGGAACATCTCCCTTTGAATTGTTGTTGTTGTTTAGTCGTTAAGTCATGTCAGACTCTTCATGACCCCATGAACCATATTGCGCCAGGCCTTCCTGTCCTTCACTGCCTCCCT